CACGCCGCAGCGCCAGCCTGCGCCCCTGGCGTCGGTGCCCAGTCCTCGGCCCAGCCCGGGCCCGCGCTCGGGTGGCCACGTGTTCCGGAGCTACGACGAGCAGCTGCGACTGGCCATGGAGCTGTCCGCGCAGGAGCAGGAGGAGCGGCGGCGGCGCGCGCGCCAGGAGGAGGAGGAGCTGGAGCGCATCCTGAGGCTGTCGCTGACCGAGCAGTAGCGCCCCCTGCCGGGCCCCTCGCCCACGCCACGCGTGACTCGCCCCGGGCCCGGAGCGAGGCTCGCCCCGGCCCGCGCGCCTGTCGAGCTGCGGCCAGAGACTGGAGCCACCGCCTCGGGGGCGTAGCAGCGCACCAGGAACGATTCGGGGAGGGGTTCGGCACGGGCGCGGGGTACCTCTCCAGGCCAGAGCCCTGGAGGCAGCTGGCGCGGCCCGGTCCCCCTGCTTTGCTGTATCCTGACCCCCAGCACGCTCCCCTGGGCTCAGGTCTGTCCAAGGGCGCAGCCAGGCGGTCCTGAGGGGTGACGAGTCCTTAGAGGAGCATTGTCGCCAGCCCTTGCTCCTTCTCGCCGGTCCTCCTTTCTGTTCAGACTCCACTCCAGGACACTGCCCCTGAAGCCTTTGCATCTCCGCTCTTCTCCCCTGGGGGGCAGCTGAGCTCCCCGCGTGCTGCGTCGCTGCTTTGTCCCAGACACAAACCAGCACGTCAAGGGCCCAGCCCCTCCCCCACCCCGGCATTTCAGCGTCAAGTGCACTTAGCGGGGTGCCCGGCTTCCCCAGCCCCCACACCCGCCCTGGGTCCGGGTGGTCCCAGCTTCTCCTTGGGCAGCCAGAAGTTGGAGTCCCATCCCCAAGGCACGTTTTTTGGTGATCAGGGAGTGTGTCCAAGGTGGCCCTCTGGCCTGGGCAAGACCTGACTCCCTCATGGTGCCTTGGAGAGTGGGGGGAAGGGGGCATATTGGGCTGGGGATAAGCACTAGGCCCGACTAGACTGGATACAAAGGGGTTGCCCAGGCCCCTGGCACCGCCACCCACCCCTTCCCACCAGCTGCTGCTAGCCCTCCGTGGTCGTGCATCCCACTTGCCCCCACACAGGGGCTGACTCTGAAACCCTTTATCCAATGGTGCTAACCCCCGGCTCTCCCCTGCCCCACCTCACCCACCCAGAGAAGCACAGACCCCGCCAGGGGCAGGGGCCCACTGCACACCCTTGTCCTGGGCCTGTCTGGGATCGGCCTTCCCGACTCGGCCAGTGAGGCTCAGAAGGGACACAAGAAGGAATGGAAGAAAACGACAAAAACTGTTCCTCCTACCCCCTTCCTTGATGCCAGGGGCACCAGACTGATTCTGAGGCACAAATAAAAGAGGCTTCAAACCGGAGGCTTTTCCTACCTGACTTTACTGGGAAGGAATGCCCATGGTGCAGGCTGGGGGTCCTTCTGACCCTCAGTGTGGAGAGGGCACTAGGGTAAGAGGCTGCCTGGTGGTCCTGAGCCCAGGGATGCACTGCAGGTTCCCAGGGAGCCTGGGAGTAGCATTTGCAGGGGCTGGGGGTCTCGCACCCCCTCACCCCCACTCATGCAGGAGGCACAGACTGAGCAATTAGTAAAATGTTTCATTCAGTACGTCTTGTTTTTCTCACAGTCAAGGCCACAGCAGAGGGCTGGGGGCAGTGTGCGTGTAGCGACCCTGCTTCCTCATGCCAGTTCTCCCGAGATTTCTCTGCGGGGGGGGGGGGGCGGGGGAGGGGAGTGACGAGGAAGCCGCCCTCTCATCGGTGGAAAGAAGAGAGCTCTCTACCATGGACCACTGTGGGTGTAGCCTGGGGGTCTGGCTCTGCAACAAACAGATTATGTGTCCGCAGAACTGGGCGACGCCCGTCTGGTTTGCCATTCAGGGTGGTAGAATCCAGTGAGCTGATAAGCGCTGTAATTACCCCCTCCTTCGCCTTCCTCCCCGCCCCTTCGTCCGGGAAGACCTATGGAGTCGACACCCTTTGAGGTCAAGCTCAAGCTTCCCAATATTCCCAAGCATCGCGCTAATACTAAGTACTTTCCCTGCCCTGGGCGGGGGACGGGAGGGCACCACTTCGCGTGCAGCACCACTGCCGAGGCCCCCGGCTACCCTAGGCCTCCCTAGGCCAGCTCCAGCCGCCCCCCGACGAGGCGCGCAGCCCGGCCCCAGCCGGGCAGACGCGGACTCCCCTTCCCAGTCCCGCCCCCGGCCCCAGCCCGGGAAGGCAGGGTCCGGAGTCTCGGACCAGAAGCCGGGGCGCGGCCGAGTGGTGCGCCCCGCCCCGCCCCGCCCGCCTGGCGCGGAGCTTCGCCGGCGCGCGAGCTAGTCCGTGCCGTCCACCAGCTCGCACAGCATATTCTCCAAGGACGTGATGCGCTCCTCCTGGGCCTGCACCCGCTCGCGAAGCGTCTTGATCTCCTCCAGCAGCGTGTCCAGGGTGTGCTGCTGCTGGGGCGGGGGACAGGAGAGGCCTGGTCGAAGAGGGGCGGCAGGGGGATGTAGCTTGGGCCTGGAGAGCCGGGCCGGATCTTACCGACAAGGGGGCGTCGCTGGCCGACTGGCTGCGGCGGGGGCCCGGGGGGGGGCGCGCGTCCAGGATGTTGCGCTTGGTGACGCG